TAGTGAGAGTAACTAAGACTATACGTTTGTAGTTGATAGTGTAGCATTAGGTTGAAACAATACATCCATTAATTGTATTTAGTGAGAGTAACTAAGACTATACGTTTGTAGTTGACGGTGTAGCATTAGGTTGAAACAATACATCCATTAATTGTATTTAGTGAGAGTAACTAAGACTATACGTTTGTAGTTGACGGTGTAGCATCAGGTTGAAACAATACATTCATGAATTGTATTTAGTGAGAGTAACTAAGACTATACGTTTGTAGTTGATAGTGTATCACTCATGTGAGAGTAGTACTTGAATATTATTACGGTAGAAAGAGTTTTAGTTTGTCATAGAATTGCATATATATATATATATATATGTTATGATCATAAACACACCTTTAAATTCCTAAAGCGGAAATTTCAAGACTATAAATTTTGTTATTAACCTAGAGGTTGTTGATTTTATGTCGGTACGATGATCCGACTTTATACTTAGCTAAATTCAAGTATCATTCCACGTTTCTCTAGCTTTTGCTAGGAAAACTTTTCAATTCCTAACCCGTTTATAATGATTATAGCTTTTGCATGATTATAAACATTCCCGAAATCTAACTTTTTGGTTGTCATAAACCTAATTCAGTTAGATGAATATGAAATGAGTATAAAATTATTTAACTGAGACTCAATAACTGATAAACAAACAGAATTATTCCATTAAGCCCCTGTAGTATGCTCGTTGTTTTACTCAATTTTTACCAATCAGATGCATATTATAAAATACTGTTGAATTCTTCATATCTAATGTTGACAGAAGTACAAAAATAAATGCAATAAAACAAATTTAAACAGTTGCATCTAATTAATAGGTTTTGCTTCACTGTTTTTATTTTATCCTACAGTATATGAAGTTAAACTAAACAAACATATATATATAATAATGTGGTTATATTATTAAGCCTATTAATTATCAATAGATTCTCGTAGAAGAAGAATGAATTTTTCGTTTGGTTCCAAGAAATTAACAAAGGCATCGCTTTGTTGCTTACTGTTTTACTTGTATGTATTTGATTTTCGGTTAACTCAACTTACCATTCGAGATTAACTTTACTCTAGGAGTTATTCAAATGACGCAACTAGTAGTTGTTGCTTACACGAATGTGCTGTACGATAATAAAGAAGAAATTGAAATACGACATTAATACCTATGTTTTCATAGCGATGGAAACATTGATGCTGCTAATGAATGGAGACACTTCTTTGGTAAGCACATAAATAACATAGTCGTGCATTGTTTTTACTCACATTGTTTTAAGAATTCGTGAATGAAAGCAAAGGAGAATTTGTTATAATATGTGTAATCCTGACTCAATTGTAAGACACACATGAGTAAAATGTGTAATCTTGACTCCAAATATAAGACAAACACAAGGATAATGTGTCATAATATGTGTAGTCTTGACTCCAACTGTAAGACTGACATAAAGAGAACGGGTTATCATATGCGTAGTTTTGACTCCAACTGTAAGACTGACATAAATAAAACGGGTTATCATATGTGTAGTCTTGACTCAAACTGTAAGACTGACATCTGTAGAAGACAAAGCCCTTTTTTCAGGGGTGTCATGCAGCCAAATATTTTGGGGGAGGCACAGTCAGAAAAAAAAAGTATTCTTTGCTATCAATGGTGGGTTAATGATAATAGTACAAACAATAATTAGTATCGTGTCTTTTACTTTTCATGTTATTAAATTTCCGCTGTTACTTTGATGAAATTATGGGTTTCCAATAGAGACAAATATTTTGAACATATCTAATCAAATATTTATAGACAGATTTAGGATTATTAAAACATTCTGTGGAAAGCATATTGTGTTATTCTACTTACCAGATATGGCAAATCCACTGAATCCTACTGCAATGATGAGAGATATGAGAGCTAAAGTGGTGTTACGTGTGTATCCGACAACAAGAAGAAATACAGCTTCCAATCCAAAACCTGTAGGAAGAGTAAAAAGTGTAATAAAAATACCATGAACAAATACCGAAAATCAATGTAAACATATGTTAAGAAAATATTAGTGGATGTGCCCTCAAGTAAAAGAGACTACCAAGAAGGAAGATATTCCAAGAAGGGAGATGTTTCATTTTCAAACGATTTTAAGTTGTTTTTTAATTCAAGGAACTTTGAAAGCTTTTGTATTCTTTGTTCTGTTTTTCTAATATTGAAACCACTCTCACCCGTATTCATCATGAATGTGATTTGGAAATCCCTCCTCATCTTTAAATACAAGAGGTGCTCATAAAGAAACGGAAATTTATTTCCTGCAGGCCGATAATATCAGATTACAGCCAATAGGCACACAGGCGGTAATAAGGGTGAGTGGGCAACTATATAACGCTGATCATCAGTTGCCTAGAAACACTGTTAACGCAGATCGTCTTTAAGAATTAAAAAAAAGGTTTTGGTTTGGGAAAGAACTATTCATTCAAACTTTCCATTTACATAAGAAGCTTGGCATTATAAGGAAGCAGGATAAAAATCTTCTATTTTAATGCCAAGGCTCTTGGCTTGTGGATGGCAAAAAAAAACTTTCTTCAGTGCTTGGCATTGGTTATAGTATTGAATGGTATAGATAGCCAGCAAGTGTTAATACCACTGTCAGTTTCCATTTTGCAAATATTTTGCACGCCATCTACCCTGGAAATATAAAACTTGATGACTGTAACAAAGAACAGATATTTTTCCATTAATAAAATATTTTGCCTGACTCTCTTTCTTCATATTTTGAATATGGGGAAAAAAATATGTTTCCAATAAAGAGTTCGTAATACCAGAGTATGTTTAAAACATTGTATGACGTACAAAAGGAGATGGAACACTTGATAACAACTGGGAAATGTTTGGGGGAAAGACGTAGAGGTAGACAGCGGGAGAAGGTCCTGGACAGTTTAACAATTTGACTACCCAAAGAGAGGGTAACTGATGTAATCACAAGTGCCTGGGACCGGGAAAGGTGGAGGGACATGATCGCCTACGTTACAAAGCACGGTACTTGATGATGATGATGATGTACAAAAATAGATTAAGGGCTCATAAAACGTGTTTGCGTTGTTACCATTCTTTATCTCCGGTATTTTAACACCCATTCTGCGAGTCAGTCACACCGGATTCGAGGCATTGGGTGGGCTACTGAGGAGTGTCACGGTTTCCGGTATTCAAGTTGGAACCTAAAAAATATATATTCCAATAAAGGGTTCTGTCTGTTAACCTAAAAAAATCGCACTTTATAGCCGAAAGAACTCACCTCTTGATAGTGTCAGGACACGAAGGTTGGCCGGACTGTGTTCTTATTGCAGAAAATAGTAGAAGTGCTCACTTTCAGACAGCTACTGCACTTCTTACAGCAAGTAAGCTTAGTTGAGCCTTCCTCGGCTATCTATGTTCACAGAACTCGCGAAAACCGCGGAGAAAACGTCTTTATAGAGCTGGGAAACCAAATCTTGCATTGTGTAACATGTGTGGCCACTGCCGTGTTTTATGTGAGATTTTGGATTTAGGTATGGGTTTGACTCTCTTGTAGCCTGAAACTAGTAATAATTCGGCCACGCTGATGTGCAATTCTGGTAAGAGATATCCCAAGGAGTTCAAATCTCTAACTAGAATTTTAAAAAAAGAGAGTACCAGAAATCTTTGTTTGGGGACTAACTCACCAGACATACCTCTCTGACTCGTACACTAGGTGTTAATATTTAAACAAACAAGTGTCAACTATTGCTATAATTTGAACTTTAAAAGCCAAGATTCTTGACTTTAATCAGCATAGTCACGTTAATATGTTAAAGTTTATACTAACTAATAAAATATGTTTGCTGTAAATTAAACACATATTACATAATATTGTCCCCAGATTAAAGACTCGCTTGCAAAGAAAAAAGCATGTCATATGTACCTCCACAATTAAAAATTTTTCGCACCGAAGTAGTAGTCAGGTATTCTCTTCGGCGGAGGTGATCTGCAAGCTGGCCACCTATTGGAACAACGATCGTCATCAGCAGGTGAGGGAGTGCTCCTAATACTCCAGACTGAAACAGACAGAGCAATATAGTGAAAATAGTGGCAAACAATTTTAACAAGTCACTATACTATTGTTATCAGTAAGTGAAGAAGTCCTCGTATTGCTTCATATTAGAAGAGGTCGAGAAATGTACTTAGAGTCATAGGGCTTCCAAGCAGTTTAAACAAGATGAATAGTTGAGGAAGTGTTTTTAGTGCTCTAGGATAGTATAGATAGGATGACACAAGTTAGTTGATGTGCCTTAAAATCGGTATATGGTTTAAACAAGATCATTGGATGAGGAAATTTTCAGGATAGTAGTGATAGGATAACACAACTTGTTTACTGTGCCTTAAAATCGGTAAATACGATTTAAAAATATCAATAGATTAGGAATCGTATTTATGTGCTTCAGGATAATAGAGATAGAATAACACAACCTTCTAACTGTGCTTCAGGATAATACAGACAGAATAACAAAACTGTGTTTTAGGATCAATAAGTATTTTAAATCAGATCAGTAGATGAGGAAGGGTTTTTTACAGCTCCAGTTTGTTTGGTTTGTTATGAATTCCGCGCTATCTGCGCTAGCCGTCCCTAATTTAGCTGTGTAAGACTAAAAGGAAGGCAGCTAGTCATTACCACCCACCGCCAACTCTTGGGCTACTCTTTTACCAACTAGTGGGATTGACAGTAACATTATATCGCCCCCACGGCTGAAAGGGCGAGCATGTTTGGTGTGACGGGATTTCGAACCCGCGACCCGCAGATTGCGAGTAGAGCGCCCTGACCACCTGGCTATGCGGGCTAGAGCTCCAGAACAAAGGAGATAGAATAATGTGTCTTAGAATCAGTACATAGTTTAAGCAGAATTACTACTATGTAGTATGTTGGGCTGACTTAATTCGGTTTAAATGTATCGACCTACAGAAACAACTTAAAAGTAAAAGATATTTATAGTGTATTATGTTAATATATATATATGTGTGTGTGTGTGTGTGTGTGTCTGTGTACACATACACATGCACGTTTAAAATTAAATGTGTATGCAAGTAACAAACTAATTCTGCCATTTTTTAAAACGCACACTTTAAAGAAGTTAAAATTACATCACAATATGGCGGCTAAGTGAATTATTCTCTTTCTACGAGAAATGTTCTCAGACGTGTCAGACTCAAGGACTAACGCCAATAAGATAATAATAAAGTCGTCACCAGATACAAACAACTACAAACCTTGTCTACATTAAAGTGGAAGACCTCTTTGAAATACATTGGCTGAGAGATGAGGAGCAGATAAAAACTCCAGCTTCTAGCAAAGTTCGCTATTATGATGGCGTAGACAGGCATCGACGTTAATATGGCTTTCCACGGTGTACTCTTCAACTGCGTATGTAAATATGATTGGGATGAGTTCTAAGTTCATTTATATTTCAACTAATTTGACATTCAGAAACATAAAATACTATATAATGTTTCAAGATATATTTCCTCATAAAAAATAAAGTAAAATATAACATAAAAAAGTCATTTTCTATATGATATGAAACGTTCGTTACCGTGCGACCCGATTAAGAATGGGTATTACAATTATTAATATAAATTAATGTACTAAAATGTTTGAGAGTTGTTACAAAATTAAACCTTGGTAACATTTAAAAGATGTACTTCAACTCTATTTCTTTTCTTAAATCGATTAGCAGTAGTGGAAACGTAATCTGGTGTTAAAAAGGACCACGTAAGGTAGTCGAAGCGTAATCTAGTATTAAGAAGGACCAAGTAAAGTAGTGGAAGCGTAATCTGATGTTAAAAAGGACCACGTAAAGTAGTGGAAGCGTAATCTGGTGTTAAAAAGGATCACGTGAAGTAGTGGAAGTGTAATCTGATGTTAAAAAGGACCACGTGAAGTAGTGGAAGCGTAATCTGGGGTTGAAAAGGATCACGTAAGCATAAGTCTGGATTTCAGATAACTATTTACTATTCAAGCCTTGTCGAATAACACTACGAATTATACTCCTGGAATAGAGTAACGTTTCACTGTAAAAACGCTGAAATTTTGGAAAAAAAATTAATAAATTACTTTGAGTTATCATTCCAATAAAACACAGTTTGCTTCTCAGAAAAATTAACTTCCACTTTCTCACTCAAAGATATAACTCCACTACTAATATCAAGGAAAATATCTTAACTCTTTAAGTTAATAGGTTATAGTCGCAACACTAGAAACACTGCTTGATACTGATAAACAAATCTTTCTTAGCCCATCAACAAGCTGGAAAGTTCGTACTTCTCTAAAACATAATTTATAAGAGTATCATTTCGTGAAGGTAAACAGAAGGATGATGTTATTCTTGAAACTTGGCTTCTATTTGTGTCTATCAGTAAATACACATAGGGTTGATTAATGTTTCTCTTGGACCATATTCAGTCACTAAACAAAATTTAAAACAAGCACGAGTATTTATCCACTAATAGATTAGTGTTGCTATCTTGTTAGTTCTTAGAGCTTAGATGGTTGATTTACTTCTTTAAGGTAAATATTAATAACAGAAATGTTGAAATTGTTCAGGTTTCAAACTAATGCAAGTATGGTATTCCGGCTAAAGAAAACTAAACCCAGTAGATTAGATTACAAGAGATACGAGATTTATCCTGTAGAAGTGTAAGAATTAGGTCTGAGACTTGTAAAAGTGATGCGGAGATTTAGACACAAATAAAATATCTTGATTAAACACTGAAAATAGCAACACAATTAAACAATCGGGAGAAAAAAAAGAAACTTAATTTAAAATAATTCACCCTGCTAGACTTATATCAAATGAAGCTGAACATTGAATACAAAACATCTATTTGAATACACGTTGGTTGATTGAAGAACAAAGGACGATCGCACTGCTTCTTTAAGCCCATGTTTATGCTTTGAACTCTAAGATGGAACTCAAACTGAAAACTCCAGAGCCCAAGAAATGGAAGATTCTTTATATATTAGAAAACCGCAATCAGGTTCCCTCGAATAAGTTTGTCTTCCACCCACATAAAGCTAGCCTCGCACCAACAAAGTGCTTTCCATCATGTATAGCCGTTACATTTAATGGTGATGTTACGCTGGTGTGGGTTTTTAATACAGGTGATGTTACGCTGGTGTGGGTTTTTAATACAGGTGATGTAACGGTGGTGTGGGTTTTTAATACAGGTGATGTAACGGTGGTGTGGGTTTTTAATACAGATGATGTAACGGTGGTGTGGGTTGTTAATACAGATGATGTTACGCTGGTGTGGGTTGTTAATACAGATGATGTTACGCTGGTGTGGGTTTTAATACAGATTATATTACGCTGGTGTGAGTTTTTAATACAGATGATTTGACGCTGGTGTGGGTTTTTAATGCAGGTGATGTTACGCTAAGGTTTTGAAATATTTTCATTATTGTTTTCTTAATTTAGTGCAAATAAAAACTTCAACTTAATATATATCTGTTATTATTTCTTTTATCTTATTATAGTTCTATCAGTGCAACTTAAAAAAAATCTAATTCAGACATATCTTATATAGTATTTTTCTTACTTTAAAATCACCCAGTAATCGCAACTTCCCAAAACTCAAGAGTCAGAAATATGCGTTATTTTATTAATTTACCTTAAGGTCACTCTATATTGTGAATCCTATATTTCTGTAGCTAACCAAGAAAATATTATGTGAAATACATTTAAAGACGAAATTTGATTGTTCCAATACCGGTAAGATGAAACTCCTATTATTATTTGATCAAATTTCTGTACTTATCATGGAATAGGCTATAAACCCTTTAAAACAATTCGTTATCGTAATTTATAATAATGCCTTTGAAAATAAAAACTTGATTTGTTCTTGGCCTGAGCCAAATCAGGATTTGTTTTGTGAAAAAACCGTAATTTATAAATTGTTTTATGTTTTCCATTGGTACATGCATTTGTTACTCATACTAATCGGCTTCAACTACATGATCCATAGTTATTATCTCGATGTACAGTGCTACTCATCGTGAACTTATTATCTCCAGCTCTTCTTAACTCATTATCGTAGTTTCATTTTCATTATTCTTTGGTTCATTATAAATTATTTTGGAATTATTTTTCTAGGTTAGTTACATTCACCTATAACTGAGGGTTCCATTTTTCTTTAATAGTATTGATTTTTGTCCTTGAAATCTACAGAACTGTTATTTTATATCATTTAGTATTCAGTAAAAATGGGTAATTTTTTTCCATCTATAATTTAATTGTTTTTCTTTCCACTTACAAGATTTATTATTTTTAGTTAATTCTTTCCATTTTCATAGTTTACGACTAAGTACTTATTATTTTCATTTATAAAGTTAATTATTTTTACATTCTATCTTCAAGATTCGTAGCTGTGTGTTCATTCTTCCTATTAACAGAAGTAGGTATTTTTAATTTCCATCTTCAAGATTCAGTATTCTACAGTAATTCTTTCCATCTTCTGGATTTATTAAATTATTTGTATTTATATTTTTTTATTTTTCTAGGTTATTTTTGCTTTC